CTTTGAAAAAGCAGCATCCGTGGAAACCTGGATTACTGTTCATTGATATATGTATCTAATCTACTCTAATCTAATCCAATTCAATCCAATCCAATCCAGAGATATCTCATCTATATAATCCAATCCAATCCAATCAAACCCAAACAAATCCAATCCAATCCAGTCCAATCCAATCATATCCAATCCAATCCAATCTATCTAACCTAGCCAAATCAAATCTAATCCAATCCAATCCTATCCAATTCAATCCAATCCAATCAAATCCAATCTATCTAATCTAATCTAATCCAATCTAATCCAATCCAAGCCAATCCAATCCAATCTAATCTAATGTAATCTATCTAATCTAATTCCAATCCAACCCAATCCAATCCAATCTAACCTAATCTAATTTTAATCCAATCCAATCCAGTCCAATCCAACCCAACCCATCCCAATCCATTCCAATCCAATCCAATCCAATCTATCTAATCTAATCTAATCTAATTCCAATCCAACCCAATCCAATCCAATCTAACCTACTCTAATCTAACCTTATCTAATGTAATTTCAATCCAATCCAATCCAACCCAATCTAATCTAATCTAATCTAATTCCAATCCAATCCAATCCAATCTTATTGAAGTGCTGTAAAGGCCTCTGTGGTATATGGGTGGGATATATTGAGATATACTAGGGGAAACTGGGGTTTACTTGGGGATACTACGGTATACCATGGTATACTGACCGTATACCATGGTTTTCTGACCGTATACCATGGTATACTGACCGTATACCATGGTATACTGACCGTATACCATGGTATACTGACCGTATACCATGGTATACTGACCGTATACCATGGTATACTGACCGTATACCATGGTATACTGGTGGTATACTGGTGGTATACTGGTGGTATACTGGTGGTATACTGGTGGCACACTGGTGGTATACCCTAATCCCCAATCCAATCCAATCCAATCTAATCTAATCCAATCCAATCCAATCCAATCCAATCCAACAACCCCATCCAATCAAATCCAATCCAATCCAATCCAACCTAATCTAAACTAATCTAATCTAATCTAATCCAATCTAATCTAATCTAATTCCAATCCAATCCAATCCAATCCAGTCTAATTCCAACCCAACAAAACCAAATCCAATCCAATCTAACCTAACCTAATCTAATCTAATCCAACCCAACCCAATCTAATCCAACCCACTCAAATCCAATCTATCTAATCTAATCTAATCCAATCCAGTCAAGTCCAATCTACCTAATCTAATCTAATCTAATCCAATCCAATCCAGTCCAAACCAACCCAACCCAATCCAATCCAATCCAATCCAAGCCAAGCCAAGCCAATCCAATCTATCTAATCTAATCTAATCCAATCCAGTCCCTCACCCAATCCAATCCAATCCAAAGCAAGCCAAGCCAATCCAATCTATCTAATCTAATCCAATCTAATCTAATTCAATCCCTCAGTCCCTCACCCAAGCCTGTAAAGACCTCTGTGGTATATGGGGACGTCTCAAAATGAGGCGCGCCTTTTTTGACCCCCAAAACGCTACTTAAAAAAAAAAGGGCTCGCCTCATTTTGAGACATTCCCATATGGGTGGGATATATTGGGATGTACTAGGGGAAACTGGGGTTTATAGTCAGCAATGTCAATATCAAAAAAAGTACTCATTGGCTGCCTTTGTTTTTTCATAGTCTTCTGGCATGTTTTCAAAAATAAGTCAAAAACATAATTGCTTAATCCATGCCCCAAGCCCCTAACCTTCCCCCAAGGATACCTGTTTTTCCTTGGTTTTTACATGGTTTCTAATGGAACCAGAGACCTAAAGCAAGCAGAAACAACCACAAACAAATTTGCAATGCCAAGGGGGGAAAAGTGGCAAAGAGTTAGATCCTGCCACTTTTTTTGCCAGTCCCTCAAAATAACAACGAACCAAGAAAGCAAAACACCAAGAAACCAAAAAAAACAAAAAAACAAAAAAAAAACAAGATTGCACACCCCAAGGGGAGGGGGTCAGATGCAGTTTGTTGTTTTTTTTTTTGTTTCTTGTTTTTTTGTTTTTTTGTTTTTTTTCGGTCTTTGTAAAAAGAAAAGAAACTGCAAAGGTGAGATTGCAAAGAGCAAACTAACCCATTGCAGGTGCATAAAGCACCTAAAAAGGCGCGCTCCCACAGTGGCCTGTTCTGTTTAAAAACCAGTTGCACATTCCCTCAGCCATGGAAGCGATGAAAACCGCGATTTTTTCTAAAAAAACAACTTCGAAGCGGCTCAACCGCTATAATTAGAAAAACTATTGTTTTCGATACACTAAAAACAAGTGTTTTTTTCAATTTTTCTAAGTTATAAAAATGTGCTAAAATTGTTGATATTTTCTTCACTTCATAACTTTTCATAACTTCTTGTATAACTTTAGTTATAACCACTTATAACTTCAACTTGGCACCAAAGTGAGACATAGAACCCTCCTGCTGCTCCTGTTGCTGCTGCTGCTCTTCCTCCCGAGGCTGAAAACGCACCCTCCCGGACGGGGAAACACAGTGTCCCTGAAGGACGGACCAGCGCCAAATCGAGCCCAAAAAGTGCCTAACGTGCCTTCTGAAACCCTAGAAAAACAATAGTTTTGGACAAGGTTTTATAGTTTTCGACCAATTTTTATACCACTGTTTGTACAGTGAGACATAGAACCCTCCTGTTGCTCCTGCTGCTGCTCTTCCTCCCGAGGCTGAAAACGCACCCTCCCGGACGGGGAAACACAGTGGCCCTGAAGGACGGAACAGCGCCAAAATCGAGCCCAAAAAGTGCCTAACGTCCCTTCTGAAACCCTAGAAAAACAATAGTCTTGGACAAGTTTTTATAGTTTTCGACCAATTTTTATACCACTGTTTGTACAATGAGACATAGAACCCTCCTGTTGCTCCTGTTGCTGCTGCTGCTCTTCCTCCCGAGGCTGAAAACGCACCCTCCCGGACAGGGAAACACAGTGGCCCTGAAGGACGGAACAGCGCCAAAATCGAGCCCAAAAAGTGCCTAACGTCCCTTCTGAAACCCTAGAAAAACAATAGCTTTGGACAAGTTTTAATAGTTTTCAACCAATTTTTATACCACTGTTTGTACAATGAGACATAGAAGCCTCCTGTTGCTCCTGTTGCTGCTGCTGCTCTTCCTCCCGAGGCTGAAAACGCACCCTCCCGGACGGGGAAGCACAGTGGCCCTGAAGGACGGACCAGCGCCAAAATCGAGCCTAAAAAAGTGCCTAACGTCCCTTCTGAAACCCTAGAAAAACAATAGTTTTGGACAAGTTTTTATAGTTTTCAACCAATATTTATACCACTGTTTGTACAATGAGACATAGAACCCTCCTGTTGCTCCTGTTGCTGCTGCTGCTCTTCCTCCCGAGGCTGAAAACGCACCCTCCCGGACAGGGAAACACAGTGGCCCTGAAGGACGGAACAGCGCCAAAATCGAGCCCAAAAAGTGCCTAACGTCCCTTCTGAAACCCTAGAAAAACAATAGTTTTGGACAAGGCTTTATAGTTTTCAACAAATTTTTGTACCACTGTTTGTACAATGAGACATAGAACCCTCCTGTTGCTCCTGTTGCTGCTGCTGCTCTTCCTCCCAAGGCTGAAAACGCACCCTCCCGGACGGGGAAACACAGTGGCCCTGAAGGACGGAACAGCGCCAAAATCGAGCCCAAAAAGTGCCTAACGTCCCTTCTGAAATCCTAGAAAAACAACAGTTTTGGATCAAGTTTTGGACAAGGTTTTATAGTTTTCAACCAATTTTTATACCACTGTTTGTACAATGAGACATAGAACCCTCCTGTTGCTCCTGTTGCTGCTGCCGCTCTTCCTCCCGAGGCTGAAAACGCACCCTCCCGGACGGGGAAACACAGTGGCCCTGAAGGACGGAACAGCGCCAAAATCGAGCCCAAAAAGTGCCTAACGTCCCTTCTGAAACCCTAGAAAAACAATAGTTTTGGACAAGTTTTTATAGTTTTCAACCAATTTTTATATCACTGTTTGTACAATGAGACATAGAACCCTCCTGTTGCTTCTGTTGCTGCTGCTGCTCTTCCTCCGGAGGCTCAAAACGCACCCTGCCGGACAAGGAAACACACTGGCCCTGAGGGACGGAACGCTGCAAGCCTCCAAAACACACCCTTCGCCACACCGAAACACCATGCTACTGAAGGATGGAACGACCTCCAAAAACATGCTGCCCCGGGGCTTGACTGCTGCTGCTGCTGCTGCTGCTGCTGGCTGCTGCTGCTGCTCCCGCTGCTGCTGCTGGTGGTGTGCTGCCCCGAAGAACAACATTTTTGCAGCTACTGCTGTTGGTGGTGGTGCAGGCGTCCGCTGCGCTGCTGTTGCAGCTATTCTTGCTGTTCCTGCTACTGTACTGCAGCTGCTGCTGCTGCTGGTGATGCTGGTGCTGGCGTCTGCTGATGCTACTGCTGCTGCTGCTGCTCCTGCTGCTGGTGCGGCTAAACTTGCTTGTCTTTGCTTTACTTCTCCTGCTGCTGCTGCTGCGCCTGCTGCGGTAGTAGTCCGAAACAAGGCTGAAAACGCACCCTCCCGGACGGGGAAACACAGTGGCCCTGAAGGACGGAACAGCGCCAAAATCGAGCCCAAAAAGTGCCCAACGTCCCTTCTGAAACCCCTGCAGCGGTAGTAGTCCGAAACAAGAATCAAAAGTATTATTCCCTGGCGCGCTCCCCCTTGCGTCTGCCGGGGTCGGCGGATATATATATATAAGCTGCTGGCTACTGGCCATTGCTTGTCTTTGCTTGTCTTATTCCCTGGCGCGCTCCCCCTTGCGTCTGCCGGGGTCGGCGGATATAGTACATTATATTACAAACTATATATAAAGTATATATCGTACCTATTGATATTGTACAAACAAAATCACAATATGAAAACCAAACTGGAAACACATAGAAACACATAGAAACATATAGTATAATAATCCCGACTGCCAACAATCCCACAGGAGGAGCGCCGGGAGAAGGACGCAGAACTCAGTCGTGCTGAGTTCCATGAGGCCTGTCGTGAAGAACAGCAGGTGGTGGAGCAGTGGCTGAAGCGCAACATGTTTCGCGGTTGCACAGCACAAAATCTCCAGTAGAAACACGTCGTATAGACAGAAATACAATGAATGTCAATAAATACCAATGAATATCAATTATCAATGAATATCAATGAATATCAATGAATATCAATGAATATCAATGAATATCAATAAATGTACAGCCTGGAGTCTGAACACATTATACAATGAATAATTACACACATACGCGCACTATCTCTCAGACCTTACTCGGATGCGGAGAGTTTCTGCTCCAAGGAGAGATCTTCTGAAGTCGGCACAGTCCACCCCGAAGGATCCTCATGCGCCCCCAGAGCTCATCAGGACTCGAAACGGCGACGGCCTTTGCTGATGGGACTTGATGTTTCCATATGTTGCCCTACGACCTTTCCTTTAAAGAGTTTGCATCAACTTTGAGAAATCCCGTGACCCTTGTAAAAAATAAGGTCATGTATAGCTAGGGTTTCTGCTTCAGATGCAGCAACCTACAAACTTTGCGAGTCTGCCAAGCTGGATGGGACTGGTTTCAGTGAAGGAATAGCCAAACATCTTTTCGAAGGGCAAGCAAAGAGGACTTGAGAGTGCCTTGTCTAGCAGAGAATGCAGTTTCAGGATGTGTTTTGGGTCGTGGGATGTCACGGTATGTCATGGGATATCATGTGCATATAATACATTATATATATATATTATATATATATTACATATTTATAGACATATTTGTTGTTCGAAATGGGCCTTCATGGGATCATCCTAGGTGCTGAGTATGCTCATGGTGCTGAGCCATTTCGAAGAAGGTGAAACAAACCTTCAGCGGCATCCGCAATTGCTGGATCTCGTGAGGCAAAATCGCTGGCTGGAGGAGCTACGTAAGCAAGTCCTGGCAGTTGAGATGAGGATGTTGACGCAGAGCTGATGTTGCAAAAGAAAACATCACCACTTGGGGTTTACTATTGGAATTTTTGGATATATGTTATGTTATTGAATATTGTCACATTCATTCATACATACATACATACATACATACAAACATACAGACAAATATACAGACAGACAGATATACATAAATACATAAATACATAAACAACCCCGGCGGACCGGAAAGTGAGGTCGTGAAATATCGTTTTTTTTTTAAAAAAAAATTCATCGTTTCGCCTAGGCGAAAACACAATTCAGCGATCACAAAAACTCTGAAATTCAGACGTCTGAATTTGGTGGTTTTTAAGATAAATGTGTATTTCGCCTAGGCGAAACGCAAATTCTGCTTCAAACAAGTTCAGGCATGCTCAGCAAGTTCAAGAACCTCAGCAAGTTCACACGAACGTTAACATGCCCCACCCCACCCCACCCCACCCCATCATCAGCGTAGCATCAAGGACCTCAGCAAGTTCACACGAACGTTAACATGCCCCACCCCACCCCACCCCACCCCACCCCATCATCAGCGTAGCATCCAGAACTCTCAGCACTTCACACGAACGTTAACATGCCACCCCACCCACCCACCCCATCATCAGCGTAGGCATCAAGAACCTCAGCCAAAGTTCACCCGAACTTAGCATGCCCGCACTCCCACCCCACCCCCCCCACGCCCATCATCAGCGGAGCATCAAGACCCCCCAGGCAAGTTCACACGCAACGTTCCATGCCCCACCCCTCCCCACCCCACCCCATCATCAGCGTAGCATCAAGAACCTCAGCAAGTTCACACGAACGTTAACATGCCCCACCCCACCCCACCCCACCCAATCATCAGCGTAGCATCAAGAACCTCAGCAAGTTTATCACGAACGTTAACATGCCCACCCCACCCCACCCCATCATCAGCGTAGCATCAAGAACCTCAGCAAGTTCACACGAACGTTAACATGCCCCACCCCACCCCACCCCACCCCATCATCAGCGTAGCATCAAGAACCTCAGCAAGTTCACACGAACGTTAACATGCCCCACCCCACCCCACCCCACCCCACCCCATCATCAGCGTAGCATCAAGAACCTCAGCAAGTTCACACGAACGTTAACATGCCCCACCCCACCCCATCCCACCCCACCCCATCATCAGCGTAGCATCAAGAACCTCAGGCAATTCACACAACGTTAGCATGGCCCCACCCCACCCCACCCCCCCCCACCCCATCATCACGAGTGCATCAAGAATCCCACCTTTCAGCAAGTTCACACGAACGTTAACATGCCCCACCCCACCCCATCTCAGCGTAGCATCAAGAACCTCAGCAAGTTCAGCACTAAGTAACATGCCCCACCCCACCCAACCCCATCCTCGCGAGCATCACTCAGCAAGTTCACACGAACGTTTAACATGCCCCACCCACCCCACCCCATCATCAGCGTAGCATCAAGAACCTCAGCAACGAAAAAGTAGCGTTTCGCGACCTCAGTTTTCGGTCCGTAGGCATAAACAAATACATTACATGACCATACATTACATGACCATACATTACATGACCATACATTACATGACCATACGTTACCTTACCACACCTTACCACACCTTACCACACCTTACCACACCTTACCACACTTTACCATACCTTACCATACCTTACCATAACTTACCATACCTTACCATACCTTACCATACCTTACCATACCTTACCATACCTTACCATACCTTACCATACCATACCTTACCATACCTTACCATACCATACCTTACCATACCATGCATCAATCCATCCATCCATCCATCCATCCATCCATACACACACATACATACACACATATACACACATACACACATACACACATACACACATACACACATACACACATACACACATACATACATTACATTACATTACATTACATTACATTACATTACATTACATACATTACATTACATTACATTACATTACATTACATTACATTACATTACATTACATTACATACATACATACATACATTACATACATTACATACATTACATACATTACATACATTACATACATTACATACATTACATACATTAATACATACATACATACATACATACATACATACATACATACATACATACATACATACATACATACATACATACATACATTACATACATACATACATACATTACATACATTACATACATTACATACATTACATACATTACATACATTACATACATTGCATACATTTACATACATTCATACATACATTACATACATTACATACATTACATACATACATACAGAACATACATAACATACATAACATTACATACATTACATACATTACATACATTACATACATTACATACATTACATACATTGCATACATACATACATGCATTACATGCATTACATACATTACATATCATTACATACATTACATACATTACATTACATACATTACATACATTACATACATTACATGCATTACATGCATTACATTCATTACATATACATTACAACACACATACATTACATTACATTACATACATTACATACATTACATATACATTACATACATTACATACATACATACATACATACATTATACATTACATACATTACATACATTACATACACATACATTACTACATACATTACATACATACATACATACATACATACATACATACATACATACATACATACATACATACATACATACATACATACATACATACATACATACATACATACATATATACATATATACATACATACATACATAGATAGATACATACATACATACATACATAGATAGATACATACATACATACATACATAGATACATACATACATACATACATAGATAGACACATACATACATACATACATAGATAGATAGATACATACATACATAGATAGATACATACATACATACATACATAGATAGATACATACATACATACATAGATAGATACATACATACATACATACATATATTTATGTATATATATATATATCTCTAAGTATCCCCCCTTTGACATGCAACATTTGACCCCAGTCATGGTTGCTGGGATGCTTCGGCTGGGGCGAGGAGGATCCTGGAGCAATGGAACTGATTTGTCAAATTCACAATCTGCACATGAAGAGCGAAGAGGCCTGGCAGCGGCGTTCCATCGATTCTAAGCTCGGCTGTGAAGCATAGCAATCCAATAAATGTGCTTGAAACATGTTGAAACGGTGGTTTTTCCTGCTTTTTCGCTATGTTATGTTAATATGCTATGGGTATGCTGTGATGGTGTTTCACCCATAGATGGGACATTCGGAAGCTGTCTCCGTGCCGTTGTCCAGGACAAAGGTCGACCGCCTGTTGCACCAGCCCAAGAAAACTGGAGAATAGGCCTGGGACTTTGGTCGTGGGTCCACATGATCAATTTGTTGGCTTGTCATACCGAATGGCTATTTCATAGGGAACATTATGATTAAAGAAGGATTTAGAGGTACCCTATTTTCAAACATTTCAATCACCAGGTGTTGAATCTCCAGCAGTCCAACTGCCATCATAAGCGTCTTCAGGTTTCGGCACATGTGCCTAAGCGCTGTCAACACGCTGGCAGCTTCCAAGAAAGCTGGCTGTCCGGGTGCCTCAGTATACCGGATCCTCGTCATTTCAGTTTGTCAATTCACATTGTTTGCGCCGCTCTGGGCCATCTCGGAGAGTTTGAAAGGGTCCATCTTCGAGTCTTCGAGACTCTGGATTCGCTTCCAATGTGAAATGTGAAGTCTTGGGCTGTGTACATGCCTGTGCATTTGCGTTTCCGCATATTTCCACCGTTCGAATTCAGCAAGTTCAGCATAGTTCAGCAAGGCTATGCAAGGCTTATCAATTTGAAGTCACTGAATTCCCATCAGAAAATGGCTGGATCCCCACTGAACCGATACCAGTCCTTCGATCTCGCCATCATGCCATGGAGCCGCCAGTCCTCCCACGTCTCCTGTTCCACCCGGAGCTCCCAGAGTTCTCTGCCCGGTGGGCCGCAAGGGGTGCATGCAGAAAATGACGGACTCTTCTTTCTTTGGCAGCTTGGTGCACCATGGAATTCCATGGAATTCCATGGATACAACATGATATATATAATATGCAGCCAGATGGGTAGCCACGTGGGTACCCACATCTGCTTGGTGAATTTCCATGAATTTCCAATCCACTTGGCAGATCTTCGCACCTTTCGTGATTGATGCATTTCGAGACTTTCATAATTTGTCCATGGTGTTATGAATCCGTGAATAATCTATTGAGTAAAGCTGTGGAGCTTTGGGAATTGGAACATACTGCCACTATATCTCATTGAAGAATAAGGATGAGTTTTGACTGGCAAGAGAGAACATGTCAAGAGTATTCTAAGGTCAATTTTACATATATCCTTTGGGGAATCAGCTTGGAAATGGACATTCACCGATTCACCATGCTTGCTTTAAACATGTTATTGTTTTTTCAAGTGTTTTCTACGGCTTCCGAAAAGTGAAGGTTTCCCACTGGAAGGCAAACCTCTTCGTCCGCTCCCGATGATCTGGCGCAGAGCGGGGTGGCACCAGAACTACCCAGATTGAAAGGCAAGGCGAGGGGAATTCCAACATGTGTTAAATGTTGGGAGATGTTGAATTGGGATAACATGGGATATAACGGCAAATCATATAACCAATAGCATAACATTAGTCACTGCCTTTGTGCGCACACGAACAGTAGTCTTCTGCTGGAGGTCTTTTTGCTTCAACCCCAACAAACGAGGCAATTAGAAGTTGAAGACGTGGAAAGATAAGTGATCTCACCACCTATGAGAATGTATAGTAAGTTGGTGGACGTTTTGCCTTCTGCAATAAGCTCCAAAACCGTTCGACGCTTGGACAGCAAAGTGTCAAGAAAGAGTTCTATTCTTGTATATCTTTGCCATACCGGCTCTGGCTGTAAGGTCTTGAAAAGCGACATGGTTTGTGGTAGGATTTACCCCAACCTGCCACATCATCAAAGACAAGGCACCACGGTCTAACGTGTCTGAAAATGAGGCATCTCCCCATAATATCGTTTAATTTTTAACATCTTTTAATGGGGAATATGATGATGAACCAGTAACCAATGCATGAGGTCGATTACATCTGCCCAGTGCCCATGGAGCCCAGAGCATAATCAAGTTGCTCTCACTGGATAGGCGCCGGGTCGATGTTGCAGCCAGTTGCTGCCGTGGGTGCCCTGTGAAAATGGGATATCCCCAAAAAGATCCCAAAAGTTGTTATAACTGGAAAATGATGATCAACCCATATCAACCCTAATCTGAGACAAACCCAGATGAGCGAAAAAAGCAGGACGTTGGGAGTGTTCTTGACCTTGTAGATTCAAAACACATTCGAGTGTCCCTACGGATAGATGTTGTCCGGCATAGGCAGAAAGAACTGGCGGGGCACGATGCAGCAGCCTATGTGGAAGAGTTCAAGGACCTGTGCTATGAACTACCAGTGCCATCAATTAGCAGCTATTTGGATATTTTTGGATGCATTTCAGATCTGTTTGAGGTAGGTAAGCAGTTGGAGCTCAGTTGGAGTGAGACACTAAAAGTGCTTGGCAGGAGTGCTGTCGTCAAAAATACACAACCCTTGTCCGATGTTACTTGGCGGCAACCTGTGCAATTTTTGGTGTTTCGATCCCAATAAGATTTTGGAGAACGAATGAAACTGGCAGCCAAGCTATTATCCAAACAAAGATCCGTACCAGTACCCTCCTTGCAGATGGTTTCTCTGCCGCTTCTACTCGCAGGTTCAACTCTTTGATATGTCAGACAATGGTTCTAGTTCTGCGCGCAGACACCGTTGTTTGCCCAAGACAACTTAACTAAGGTCACTGTGTCCACGTTGTGGATTCGCCAAAACCCTTACTGTAAATGAGAGATCAACTGGGGTGAGGGGTGGCGGGGATGCTGAATCGTATCCTATAGACAGATTGACAGCAACCCCCAAATGATAGGTCAACCACTACCACGCTAATTGATAGGGAAGGATATAGGGTGTGAGTCTTTTGTTTGTTTGGGGGAGGAATAATGTTGATGATGATGATGGTGGTGATGATGATGATGATAAATCCTCCTGACAGCAAGGTTTCGGTCAAACCACAGTGCCTGACCATAGTTTCAGTATGTTCGAGTTTGATATTTTGTTCGAGGTCTGGGTATATCTATCCATTTCAACTCTATTTCATACATATATAAATTATATAACAACACTGTATATGTAAAGTTTTTTTTTTAAAAAAAACACAAAATATTACATAGTATAGCACAGTATAACAAACTGTAATGCAGTATGTACATATGCATACGTATGAAATATTCTGTATCAATATATCATAATATACTTATTGATATAATCATCAACACATCATATACCTCTCTGGGCAGATATCATATATTATCATAGCTGTCCTGCCTCGAGGTTGGCGTATGCTTCTGGACCCTGCGTGCAGCGGACGTGTTTCCTTTGTGCCCTTCTGCAGTGCTGCAAGATCCATGGGCTTCTCGCATATTTCCACGTCACTTTGGCTAAGAACTCATCACAGTTAGGGTCATGTTCATGAGTTTGTTGATGTGTATAGATACAGTATAGAGACCTTATATATACTATAGAGACCTTATATGATATATATATATACACATATTGCATGTATGCATCTGGCATATAAACTACGCGTATGATGTATCATGCATATACGCTACGTATTACATTGTAATTGACAATGGCGCTGGTGATGATTCACCACTCAGCCAGGCTTTGGAAACAGCTCGATTTCGAGCATAGCGGCTTCATCACCTTGGAAAATTGGGATCCGTCTTGCTACCATACCATCATGAAGTTTCGAGGGAGACTTGGAGCATTTAGGTGATCATGTTGAGAAATTTCAGGAGGTCTGTTGGGCACCAGGTTCAAACCACGGATTTTCCTGGAATTTATCCATTCAGAATGGTTGGATCGTACTATTGGTGTGCACACATGCGGATGCATTAATTAATGACTGATCATTACTGATATTACCGTGGAATACTGTGAAGATGTAGACTGATGCATGTTTTGTTTTGTTTTGTTATTTATGCTTATTTATGTTTACCCCTTCTCGGTGCCAAGGGCCTGTCTCAATCGCTATAGCAGTTTGCCAGAAGCTTTCCAGTGCGGCATGGACAAAGTTGGTTGTGGCATGTGCGACTCAGCAGCACTGCAAAGGCTGAAATGAAACAAGAGGAACCGGGCGAGAAACGCCAGACACATTTACAATTGACAATTGACAAGTGTTTACGCTTCTGACAGTTGGAGCATTTTGTTCTGATTGATTTCTTTGAATCGATTCTGTTTGTTGCTTGTTGGCTTTTCTTACTGGACTGATGATTTCTCTGTGACGACTTCTTTGTGTTTGGCATCCCAATTGAATCCAAGAGTTGCAAGTCTCAGGCCCGAAGAAAGACTTCAAGAAGTATTTGGAGGAGATAGACTTCCATGGACACAAGTCCGCTTTGTGGGCAGCCCTTGATGTGAAGCAAGATGGGTACATTACTGTAGCTTGCCAAGTTCAAGCATATCCCGCTGTTGTGATGCTGAAAATTTGACCAGATGTCACAAGAGGGAGATAAATTCTTCATCATAGTGATTTGATTCGCATATTAGGTTTTGGACTTAGCATTCGCGCACAGCAACTCTTTGTTTGGCTCAGTGCAGATCCTGTCCTTGACACATTGTTGTGTCTATTCAATTTCAGATGGAAATGGAACTCCCTCTTTGTTGGAACTCCCTCCTTTTGTTGAAGGAATTTCTACCATAATTAGTTCAATTGCAATTCGCATTTCCCAGTCAGTTGCATATCGGTGGACTGCACTTCAACAAGTACTTAGGTGGCCGAATTGGACATTCTGAAATGTCAAGGTGAGCATTTTCATTCCGAGGCTGGACATATCAGAATTATGAGGTTAAATTGCAGGTCATTTCGCGTTACATAGTTATATTATACGATTGAACTGCTGGTCTTAAACACGCATAGAAGTTTATGGTGGTGTCAGATACTTTGATTTCCATCCCTACCGTACCTTCATTTCAGCCAGACGTCCGGCAACTTTGTGGAAGCCTGGAGTGTGAACGTGTCTGAATTAAGCCTTCAGACTTTTGGAGGTGGAACATCGCGACCATTGCTTTCGACATAGGCATTGTCGTGAACCCTGTTCTGAAGTCTCTCGGTCCCTTGACAAGATTTATTCTGTTTATCTCCATTCCCACGTTGTAAGATTTGTTTTGGCATTGTTTTGTTTTCAATGTCTTCAATACACCTTAGTGCGGTAACTCACCAACTGCCACTAGATGCCAGAGCAAGAATCAGGGTGCGATATACAAAATTCAGCTCCATGTTAGGAACAATATGGAAGAATCGGATTATATATTTATATGACAATGATAATTATATAATTATATATCATTATCATTCATCATCCATCAGAGAATATTATCAGATGAAATATCAGATAATGTTAATATGGCAATATATGGCATATATATATATGCATATATAATCTGATATTTCATCTGATATTTCATCTTGCCATTGGCAAAACATGGCGTCGCGTTGTTCACTTCCCAAGGCTCTCACTGAGAGCTTCGTGAGCCGTCCCATCGGATGATCTGTGGAATCCAAATTTCGGAAATCGGCGGGGACTTTTCGGCATCTTGATGCGTCACTCCCAGGCCGTTCTGATTGGACCTTTTTTTTAATACAAAAAAGCATGATTTGTTGTGGGAAAGCCATGTAAACCTGAAGAAAGATTGAAATTCTATGAAATTCTATAGTATACCATCCATTTCTGATAAAGTTGGGTATGGCTTGTTGGGTTTCGTTACATGGGTTTCCATTGTAGAATCCTGTACAAAACTGAGCTCGGCAGCGAGCGGATTGCACATGGCTGACGAATTGCACCTATGCTGCAAATTTCAGGCATGTCGAATTCAGTCCCAGTGCTGTACCCCCTGTACCAGACATGTGTTTTAGAAGGTCTGGATGTGGCTCTTCGGAGGTGGCTACTCGTCAGCTCAGCGTCCACAGCTGGGATAATTTTTGGCCATTAAATGATTAGATATCAAGAAAACAAAGGAACCTTCTACAGCACTGATTTGTTTGGGGGGTACTCAGTTCTTAGACAAACCCAGATCAATGTAGCTGAACGCTATGGATTCGTCATTGACATACGAGACCTCATGGGTCAATCGTCAAGCGATGTCACCAAGTGCCACCTCAAAGAGCTTTTTAACTTTGCAGCATGATGGATCCTGTGACTCCTTGCAGTATTACTCTGCCTTTTACAACCTGCAGTTTTTCTCTGCTTTTTGAATGTTATTTCAGACTTTCGTCTGAGCTTGGACTGTCGATTGCCCATCCATTTGTCGAGCACTTCAAGCCCCTTTTTTTTGCGACGAATGCAGATCCCTTCGGCCTTCGAATCGTCGAAGGGTGCTGACGTTGGCAGCCAATCAAAAGAGCGATTTGTCGGGTTCCCATACTGTTTGGACGTGGTTCCAAATCTTTTGTGTTGATACGAGATTCTTGACAAATAATCAGCAGATCAACGAGACATTTGACATGCAAGAGACATAATATTTATAAACAGGATCAGGCCAGTATAATTCTAACTTTAGCCGGTATGATATGTGCGATCTGCCACTTTGTTTTCAAACATACCTGTGATCTGATTCAGATACTCTGTGGATGGAATGCCATTTGGATGAATTTGGATGGCACAGGATATTCAAACGCAGTCAGCATACGATTGAATTGTACAATTGTTGTGAATGTTTGTTTTCACTCGTTTTCATGACACTTGTGCATGGCATCAAAGTGACAGCTCTTCCCTGCAGCCAAGAGCTTCCTTGTAGCATTGGCAGTAGGCAGAAGGCAGTGTGAATACATCATGGATGGTCTCTAATATAGTGTCTACATGGTATATAATTACATTATATATTATATATATATCATTATATATCCATGGTCTATTTATAACGTTTTTTTTTCACATAACTACTCCTACTCGCTGCGGTTGCGACAACAAATTCTTCCGGCGCCTCAGGATTCAAATTGCCATGAGGCGAGAACTGCCGGTGGTGTTTGGAGTCAGCACCTGCCTCAGCGGACAGTCGGAGAGCGTCAACCGGGTCAACAAGGTCAACCGGGTCAACCTTTTGGGATGTTTATAACGTTTATGACGTATCAACCAGGATGATTTTTGTTATCCACAAAAAATTGGAAGCATTTTTCACAGTGCGTTCAAGATTTGCCACATGGGTTTGTCTGAAAATAAGATTAATAAGGTATAATGGTATATACCTGAAAATCCAATGGTTTGTTATCATTTTCCCGAGTAAAACGGCTATTTTAAGTGGTATATCCCATTTCCAGACACATCCACATAAGGATGAGTCGCCAAATGCATTTCCAACAGTTGAAATCCACGGATTCTTTGGAGCGATGACACTTAAGGTGCCTTGCTGTTCCACCTGCTATGTCTACCAAAGTTCCAAATGACCTTCCAGGCTGGGAGTTGTTTAGGGAGGCTTTTTTCGACAGATCATCGCTGTTAGGGAGTAGCCTCCACAATTACGCATTCAATATATATATATATATGTATGTATGTATGTATGTATGTAATGTATGTATGTATGTATGTATGTATGTATGTATGTAGATCTTGTAACTTTCCAGCAGCCAGAGTGCTACAAATGTGTGGAATTTGCTAGGGAAGCGAATGCCAGGAGTATCGTGTTTCCATCGATTTATCATGATTTATCCATCCCTACCCTCTTAAAAATGGAATTTGAGGGGGGGGGAGTCGTACTGAAATTTCATTTTAAAATTCAATTTTTGCCATCCTCAATGATCAATATTTCTCATCATTCCATGTCATTGGCAAGCAGATGAAAATTAAATACTTGCGCTTAGCTCCGGAGGAGCCAAGCACATATCAGACTGAAGCAGCACATGTGTAGGGATGGCATCCCTCCAAAAATTGCGCTCCGGAATTTTCTAACCAGTGCCCAAGGCTTGTTAAGAAATGTTACTTTACAATTCCATTTGAGGGGTTGGATCACTATCCCAGGGTTTCCAAGCAAAAAAAAGTGGAATTCGACAGGTTGGTTTTGTACCCCCCCGCCCTCCCCCTCTAGAGGGGTAGGGATATTTATCCAATAATGATTAGCTCACGACTGTGGGTAGCCAGAGGTTTTTGGTTGGGGGTGCAGTTCTATGTTATAAGTGGATATACGAGCATAGTTATCGGGAAAATATATATCCCAATTTCTGAAGGTTAGTACCATAGTTATAGGTATACCATGTTATACCCATCAAAATCATATCAACCATGGTTCATCTTTACTATGTATATATATATAATATATATATATTCCTTTGAAATCCTATTTGATTCCCCAGGCTAGACCTGGCCTCGACGCCTTTCCGGGCGCTGTGTCGTGGTTGGTTTATCCTTGGGAAGCGCGCTTCGCCACTTGGCACCGTGACGGGGGGATCCCGCCATTTGAAGAAACTCGCCATTGGATGAATTTAGATGATATTGGATGAACCTTTCAGGTCTTTGATGGTCTTTACCTTTCAATACCTTTCATATTTTTTCGCAATTGCAGCCTGCAGAAACAGCTGGAGAAAGTCAGGCTTGCCCTTTTTCTCTGGTAAATCAGATTAAATCATGGTAGATCCAATTTTGGTCTATCCCCAGTTTGACTGGAAATGGATGGTGAAATCTATCCGTCAACTGGGCTCAGGCCAGCACTTGTGGAAGGTGCCAGCCTTGGGGATTCCGTACGGAGTGAACGGAGGGAGCGGGTGGGAGCGGTTGGGTTATCCATATTCGCAGCAAAAAATAGGGGCTTTGATTTTTGAGTTTCGAATTGAGTTGCCTAACCACATGATAGAATTGTACGGTGGATTTTACATGTTTTGATGAGGTTTTGAAGTCACGATTAATTATATTTTTTTGTTTTTGCTGTCAGGGCCTCCAATGATTCAATCCAGCTTTTATCCTTAATACAAACACCATTATCTATTAGTATGTCCCCAGATTGTAACAAATTTTGCAGACCCAAATTCTAACATTGCTGAGGTGAATGAAACTGACCCCCAAAGGCGGGTCCCCCCGCCATGGCCACTAAGGATTCCATCCTCAATTAAAGATGTGGTGCGCCATGCGACTTGGACTCAAGATTCTTTGCGCGTCTACCGGGTCTACCGTTCGAATGTGCTGCTGGAAGCCTACATGCGGCCAAACACCGGAGCACATGCTTGTTCGATTGGCATAAAAAATGACTAAGACTAAGCACAATGCAGGGAGAATAAGGGAGAAGGTACCTAGCAGTAGAATACTGGCAGTTTTCAGTTGCACCGAAGGCTGGGATGATGTATATTATAACCATCTATCTCTCTCTCTATACCCATAGGATCCATGTATGCCATATATGGTAACATTTACCATCAATATACCCCCAATGTGAGCATATATATACCATACATGGATCCTATGGGATATATAATATGTTATAATTCACAATGCATAATCTGACCGACCGGAACTTGAATTCATCGCTGTGGCCGCAGCCTTTGGAGATCTTTGGAGCTGAAAAATGTGACAGGGAAACAAATTCATAATTTGATGATCATATTCAATGTATATCACTGTCATTCATGGATACATTAGATATCACATCATATCACTGTAAATAAATCGTTGGATTGACTCAGGCTGGGCGAGATGAAGATCGTCGCGAGGTCCTCTTTGTGAGAATTGGTGATGAGCACCTTGGCGGTTGAAAGGCAGAAAGGCAGGAGATGGCAAGCTTTGTTTGTAGGGTAGATTATATATATATATACACAATTATATACATACATAGTACAGTTTATATGTCAGAGAGATACTTGTAGTTTATACATTGAGATGTAATGTGATATATAAATATATGTATATGACTATAGGCTCTATTGTACAGTATACATGTATGAATGCTTATATTATATATATATATATGTACACATATTATATTGCAGCTGGTATTTTTTTAATATTGTTTTGTGCATTGTAATTATGTTGTTTTCTAGTCACAGTCTGCTCTCGCAGCAACTTATGATCTTTGGATGTTGCAATCAGCCTGGAGATTAGCGGTTTGTGAAATCGTCGTTCTGGCTTTTGAGATCATGGTGGTGCTCCTTGTCGTCTTATTTGTTCGACATGTGTTCCGTTTCAGACGACCAGCTTTGTAATTGATTGTAGCACCTGTGAGTGGCCAGTGCATGTTATTGCACCATGCAGAGATGTTGAACATTCCACCAAGGGGTGGCGTTGAACTTTATCCAGCACATCATAATGAGATATAATGAGTAGGCCGAGGCTTCCTGAGCCAGTGCTTCTCACTATCATGTAAAGCCACCCCTGTTGAGCAGCTTCATTCAGCTTGTCATGGTGGATCCATTGAATCCATGCAGCAAAGATCAGCAAAGGCACATGACGCAACGAGATGCCCAAGTTCTCGCGCAGCAAACGCCGCTTGGTGAGCAAAGCAAAACAAAAAGCGGAGTACATTTGTCCGGAGTCCTTGCAGTGCGTAGGTTGAATGGTTCAACATTTGGGATTTTAGAGGCAACTAGTAACTAGGCAGGAGCTTGTTGACATACCATGTCAGGTTTGCGGAATTTTGCGGAAAGGGACAACTCCCGCCTTATTGTTTGCCCATGTGTGCCAAATTGTTTGCCCATGTTTGCCCTGTGCAGCACTTCATAGACTTCATCAAGTTCAGCAGGTTGTGCGGCCTCGACAGTGTTGCGAAGTCCATCGGCTGGACGATACTTGGCCAAGGGACTTGAAGGGACAAGCAGTCGGTAGAGGCACAGCAAGTGCTGACTTAGCACAGGATATGACGAGGTGAAGCAACTTATGTGTGACCACAATAAGCAGCCTGAACTGACACACTAAAGACAAGTTTATGTTACTTCAATTCTGTCTTCTCTCTGTAAAATGCAATGCTTTTTCTGCCAGCAAGACCCATACTTTGTAGATACGGCTCATAGGTTCTGCAGTAGAAGGACCGAGTTTATGGTATGAATGCTTGTTTGCTTCTTATTAAGCCTCCATAAAACGGAAGCTCAGATTGACCGGACGGGTCTGAATCAACACGCCCAGGAAGCCGCATGTGAGGAAGAACATGTTTCGAATGAGATCCTTGTCAAGGGCATGCAGTGCAGTGAAAGCCAGCTAGGTCATGATAGCGGAGAGTAAATGAGTGCAAAACTACGTGCATCATGATCAGATCCCCTTATATACTGACTGGAAACTCGGGACGAATGCCAGAATATATATATATATATAATATATGTGTCCAGTCGTCACTAGTTGTCCATATTGTAAATACCAAAATATAATTCCAATCCAGGTTCAGAACTCATGCGAAAGGGCACTTTACCAATTATTTGCACATCTATGAATATATATATGTATATTTATTTATCTACATATAATATATATAACATAATATATTAATATATAATAATATATAATAATATATATATATAGTTTTTTTGGGCAACAGAAGCAGAAAAAACATGAGGAAGCGGAAACATCAGAGGTGTCCATTTGACCACTGCTTATTAACATGGCTCCACCGTGTTCCACCTAGGCGTAGTAGTTGACTCTTCCCAGTTGAGCATGGCAAATTGGCTCACCTGCGCGAAATGCATGCTTTCGGTGTCTCGTTGGCGGTTTCCGGTGATGAATCCCGGATGGGATATGATGGGATAGTTATAGCCTACACTACACACAGCCATGCCATTGGCAGGTTGGTTATACAATCCAGGAGTCAACCTTCAAAAACTTACTGGTGCTAAACGCAGGGAATTTTCGGGAATGATCCCAGTCATCACTATTATAATAACCATCCCAGCAACCCCATTCCCCATTCCCATTCCCTACTACCATCTGGTTATTTAACATAGCCATGGAAAATCCATGAAAATCCCAACCATAAATGGAGGTTTTAGTGGGAACATCATCTATTTCGATTAGGGCCATCGTGTTACCATGGCTATGTTAGTCATAACCAGAGGGTAACGTCAGACGTCGTCAGATCAACCGCTGAGGTTATCAAGGCGATTCAACCCTTCGTGTCTCCCTTCTACGATCGCATGCCTGGACTGATCTCTGTGGTGGATCCACCCTTCGTTGTGAAAAAGGCCGGCAGCGGCCAGCGAGGGATACGTTGCTTGTTGTTTGGAGATATGCTATGGCTATGGATTGAAAAATGGGATATGATATAAATTGATATAATAATATAATATATAATGGAGAGATGACATAGGTTATAGTCGGGATATAATTGATGATTAAAACAATTAAATATGTACTATGAGGACATCATGGGTTGTATGCTCTGTGTTCAATGCCGCCCTTTTGAAACGAATTCTGTTCTTACAAGAGCCAGTTTTTTTTTTTGCGTCTTTTACCTTGACTCTCTACAGTTTGTTTTTGAATCCGGAAAAGGTCTCGTCCAGGAATTCAGTACTTCTTGCGGACACAAAGAAAGCAACTAAGTACGTGTTTTACATTGTTTTACTGTATTAGATTCTCAGACATAACATAGAACAACAATGAACAACACAACATGATCAATCTGAATAGCTGCTATAGCTCTCCAGTTCTGACATGTTCTGACGACCTGGTGAATAGCTGAATTTGTCAGGCCTGGTACATGGTCCGACCATGGTTGGGCCAGCCGACGCGCGAAGTGGTGCGTTTTGTGCAGACAGAGCCGTCGCAGCTGCCCGAACAGCCCAGGTCGTCGGATGCCGACACTCAGAAGTTCTGGCTCTTGCACAACGCCTGAGACACCTGCAGAAAGCATCAGAAAGTGGGAACCAACTTGAAAAACCAACGCAGCTGACCACGTTTTGCAAAAGTTTTAATATGTTTGAATGAAGCTCTCATAATTTAGCTTAAGTTCAATTTCGGCGTCGTGCAAAGACTGAAGTGGCTTGGATTGGTGCCGACAAGTTGTCCGAACTGCAGGTGTTCCACCAAGGCCGAGCACCAGGCATTTGTCGCCCTGTAAGCTCCCACCTGGCGTGCAATTCGTGTTTTGCCAATTTTGCTGTGTCGGTTGTACAGCGTTTGCCGCAAGGTCAAACGCCGACGACTGTTTTGCCATTTTTTGCAGTGTACAGATATGACATAACGATACATACCGTATATCCATCCGTATCCGTCTCACCCTCGGCACACTCTGGTGAAAGAGTCTCGAGTGGGCGTGTGATGGGACATTTCTCGCCGATTGCGGTTTTGGCATAGTGAAGTCGATGCCGAAGCTTGGCATGGCCATGGCCTGTGAACTGAACGACGATTCGCTCCTTTGCTTCTAGTCTGTGTTTCTGATAGATCCGCTCGAATCCGTGGAAGCAAGATCAAGACACACAGGGAAACTGTGCAATTGAACTTCGCAAGATTATTATTATATATATAAATTATATATAATATATATATAATATATATATATATATTCATAAACCATATCAAAGCATATCAAGACCAGTGCACTTTGGTGCACTTTGAATGTTTCCACTGGCAGTGGGTTGATAGTTCAGAGCTGCATTGGCAAAGCTCCAAGATGCTTGTGCCATGCTGAACACAGGGAGCTAGCCGGGCGGCGCTGCGTTGCAATTGGCTTTGGCCAACTGGCAATATCATATTCATTCCAGTTCACACCATATTGGGATACCCTCAATATCCCATATATGCCTCAATTATCATAAAGTTATCCTCAATTTATCAGAATTTTATTCAATGTTGATGGGGAAAAACACGGTAAAACGATGATCAGCCATGAGATTTTGGAGTGTCCTGTGTTTAGACAAACACAAATGTAGCGCAAGCGCAATAACCCAGACAGGATACCATTTGAGCTTCCCGCGTGCAGCGATGCGCTGTTCGCAGCCGCCCGCAAAGATCGCTCCAGTGGATTCCCTTTGGAGATTCCAGTAGTGGCACAGTGGCGAGACCCCAAATTTTTGCTTCGGCTTCCAAATTCCAGAGAAAACAAATCAGAAATCAGAAGTTAGAATTTGTCGAGATCTTAAGGATTCATAGCTATTTGAGAAGTATGTACAGTGCAGTATGTGTGCGTGCTTTGGCATGCTTTTCTTCCTCAGTTGGTTAAGCCAGAGCAAAGCCTGGGATATGAAATATGACTAGGTTGTGTCTCAGAGAAGCCGCCAAATTCTGGCGGATGCTGAGAGGGTCCTTTTGGAGCCTGAACGTACGTTCGGCTCCAGTAAAGGCAATTTCGGTTCGAACTTACAGTCAAGGCTAACGGACCCTCAGGGACAGAAACCAGATTCCAATGTTCCAAAAAGAGTGCTCCCTGCTATGGTTTGCTACAAATGGAGTTTGAGCATGTTTCAGATGGGGAAAGCTTGGCTGAGGCCCAGGTGGTTTGCTGGAGGTCATCAACGCAATTTGTACGTGGACTGCTCAGAGGACGAAGCATGGGACGACGCGAGGGGCGCCGGACAGCTGAGCTGATAGCTGCTCTGCTAGCATCTTGAGCCTTCTCTCTGCTACCCACAGGCCAAAGACGCCACAAGCACAAGAGATGCGTCTGAAATGGCAGAAGAAGGTGCTGTTCAGATGGATGAGTTGTTTTCAGCTCTGGGAATCATATTGGAAGTACTCGCTACCAGCATATCCCTTAAGCCTTATGCAAAGTAGCTAGCATATTCAGCCCAGGAAGCAGCATCTCTGAATGTTCTAAGATGTTCTAAGATATCTGATCGTTCTATATCGATTATTTTGCACAGGCTGCTGAAAGGCACAAAGGTATTACACAGAAAAAACATTGGTCGATTGGGTATGTTCAAAATTGGATGGCATTTTAGATTGCGAGCATGATGACATCCTTTCCAGGAGTACGGGAAAGATGCATTGTTCGACTCGCTCTTCCCAGACTTGAAGCAGTTCAAGGACGTCACACGCGCACACACAAACACACCCTTCCGCCACCTTAACTGCCCTAGCCATCCCTAGCCAATATGAACTATGTTGCTTGTGCAGGACGACTATGACAAGCAAGACAGTTGGTGGGATATTTGGCTCATGTTGGGCTTCCTGCTGCTGCTGATCGCAGGCCGAGTCAGCTTATTCTGTATAATATATATGTTACAAGCATTGGTTTCATCGACATTGAATGACTTGTATTGCAGCTTTCAACAAAGTTTCGCGAGAGAAATACACCCAGAAGAAACGCAAAATCACGACAACACAATAATATATGTATATATATACATATACATACATCTATAATATGTACATAATACAAATACAACTTCTATACATTTATAGTCAGTTTTAGAGTTCTGCATTATTCCACGAAGCATCACCAGCAACATGATGGTGAAACATTGTGAGAGACATGGTGAAACTGTCACACAATCTCGGCTAGTGATTCCTATTCTGATGTAGGCCTGGCTGCGGTCTTCTTTTATGGACTGCCTATGAGGCAGGGAATGGCTTCACATTATGACAACTAATGGCCAAATTTGGAGAGCAGAGTCACTATCAAGGCTCACCAGCAAACACTCTGGAACTTCCTGTGCCAGTGAGGTGTTTTTGATAATTACCCAGGCCCACAGGTTGTGTTGCTTCTTTTTCGTTGCTGATCATGTTTGCTTTGACAGTTCAAAGACTGCAACAACAACCGTGACCACTACGGCAATGGCTACAGGGTGCTTGGAAGTAATTGATATCATGGGAAGCACTGCACCAATTCACATCATGTATACTATCATGTCCACGGCTTTTGATTGCGCTGAGCAGGGACTATAGCTATGCAGCAGAGTCATTTTCAACAATTAATTTTTGACATCCTTAATCATATTTTCTTCGCAGCTGCGGTTGGTGCTTGACATCTTTACAAAACAGAACATATTCGAACCTGAGGTCTGCGACCTCTTCGCCAACCGCTGATGAGCTGTGAATATCAGTAACATTTTCGCTTTGGAGTCATAAGTCATAGAATTGGATGATGGGAAAATTTTAACCGGAACCCCCTATTGGTTGATGGTAAAAACCATGGTTTCCGGATAAGATTTTCCCTTAAACCAATCCAATGAATAAGATATGGCGGGTGTTCTTCAAAGATAGGATCCCCGTCGCACAACCCACCGCTTGATCACCGGCATCAAAAAGCCTTGCTGTGTGCAACCCTTTTTGTATCCTGAGAAGTCTGGCCAAGCAAAGGGCTGCAGGCATGTTCCCAATGTTCAAACTCGGCCCACAGGACCTAAACCATAAATATAAAAACATATAATATATATATATATTTATATAAACACATTATTCAAATAACATCAAAAACTATATAAAACTATCAAAATATATCAAAACTAACAGCCGCCAAATCCTTCAAGGGGTGCACCAGTTTGATCCGAACTTGATACTTCAAGGAATGTGAACCTGGCAAAACCATGCAATACTGAATGTTTGCAGCATACGCACTTTGCCAGCCCACCACAGGAATACACAGCGCCTGTGATAGCAAACACATGCAAACACTATCCAACCACAAGCATGCCATAACAAAACATATGGCGGAGTCTGTACGCCATGATTAAGGGAGACCTGTCATCCCTGCTGTCGTCGGGCTGGCTCTTTTGCGACCAAATTATAGCATAAGACAGCCACAAAAAAGTCAGCAATTAGATTAGCAAAGCAAAACAAAGCTATGGAATACCCATCAAACATGGTGATTTCCATTGATTTCCCATAGCTGTGTCAAATTACCAGAGGGTAGACTACTCCAAAGCCATCAACGAGCCTTGATTTTCGCCCTGCCAGGTCACTTAAGGAGGTGAAATTACCGCCTTTGGTTCATCCTGACACCCTGCTAGCAGCTGCCAAGAGATGCCTGGGACTCAGGGAGACGTCATGGAGACGTCATGGTGACGTTTGGTTTTTCACATCACAGACGGTTCTTTCCAATAGGTTTCGTAAGAAGCTTATCACCTAAGTGCATGCACAGTAGATTAATTGAGATGATCTATGGGGACAGATCAAAACCTCCGAAATACCATATGTTGGAGGATGAACATGCATACATTCCAGCTATCTTGGTGTCCACCAGGACTTTCCACGGGATTTGACCCATAGCCGCTATAGCCATGAACTTGACCACTGTGAGGTGCAGATTTCGGAGGTAGCAAAGAGTTGCTGGATGCTGCTGCATTGGCAGGCGCCAAGACCATGGTGACCATGGCGCTTCACGCGGTCAAAATTTGTCCAACAGACCATTTTGGCATAGTTAGATACTGTTAAAGTTACGTAGACACTTCAAACTGACTGAACAATAATATCAACGGTGAACATGACTAAAGATACTATCAGCAAATCATAGGTTCCCATAATTTTCCATGACCGGAGATGGCTCATTAATATGCTGTTTGTCATTCATTATCAGCCAACCAAAATGTATGATCCATCGATGATCCAGACCCCAGCTCATCCCAGCTCAGGTATCTTACTCCAGGCTCATGCAATCCAAGCACATCGAGATCTTGCGGAGGCGCTGACAGAACCAGAGGGACTTTTTTCTATTGGGGGTTGGTGGGAATATTTGATGGAATATATCTAAAATATTATATTATATTATCGTATATTATGCCGTATATTGTTAATATATATAATATACTATAACATACAGTAATATAGTCAATCATCATTAGTTGGGTCTGAAACAGGTATATATTCTAACTAACCTTTGGCAGTATTTTTTTAATGGGGACAATGCTTATAAACCAGTGGATTTAGCCCCCCCGCAGGCTGGCATAGCGCCACCTGGCATCGATGAGCCGTGCTGCGCTCAAAGTCCACGAACCAACGAATCAGGTCACAAGGTGTCTAAAGAAAAATAGCATCGGACCATCCAAAATCTGTTCTGTTGACTTTTTGGATCGTTTTGATCCTTGAGATCACCAAAATGTTGACCCAGGTCCAAAAGTGTTTCCTCTTTGATTAACAGCTGTCGGCATTCAGGTCGCCTCCGCCACCTCCCGAGACAGGCAGATGCCACATGTTTACCAAATGTTTCTGAAAATCAGATAATTTATCTCCCCAAATGGCAGTTTTAAGGAGGATGATTATATGATGGGACATTCTTGTATGATATATGATTATATGATACTATTGAAGGAAGTTTAGAAGTCAAACTTCCGACCATATGGACAGATGAAAAGCAGAGATGGGAAGAGTCAGAGAAGAGAAGAGAAGAAGAAAGAAGATCAAGAAAGAGAAAGTCTCCGAAGAAAGAAGATCCGGTGCGCGAAAAGGTAGGAAAGTCGCGAAACATAGTGTTTTTCTAAATGATTTGTGGCTCTGGAGGATCGAAAAGTAGCGTCGCTAAAGCGGCGGGTGCGGAGCCATCTAGCCAGATGAGAGATGAACAATTTGCACGCCGTGGTGGCGCGAAGCACATTTGTAAGTCAACATGTACAAAACACCGCATGTTCGGACCACTTTTGGAAGTTGAGATATCGAAAAAGTGCACGCCGTTGAGGCGCCAAGCACTTTCGAAGTCAAAAGTGTAAAACACTGACGGGTTCGGAGCACTTTTGGAAGTTGAAAAAGTGCAGGCCGTTGTGGCGCGAAGCACATTTCAAAGTCAAAATGATTCAAAATGTACCGAGCACACCATTCTCGGAGCACTTTTGGAAGTTGAGATGATGAAAAAGTGCACGCTGTTGTGGCACGAAGCACATTTCCAAGTCAAAATGTTAAAACTGTCAAAAACACCACTTTTGAAGGTTCAGATGTGATTTTGCGTGGCAGGTGCAAGGGATTCTGCACCTTGCCAAAAGTGAGGAAACCGTGAGGGTTTGTAGCAGTTCCAAAAACGATGGCAGGTGTGGGACATTTGAAGGGGATTTGTAAAGATGCATTTCACGTGGCAGGCGCATTACAAGAGACATGTTCATCAGAGATGTTAAGAGGTTAGGGCGCTGATTTCCCGAGAGGAGTTGCATTTTGGAGCATCAGATCTTCAGTTTTGGGAAGATGATTTTGCGTGACAGGTGCAGCACTTCGTATGACCTGGCATCAATTTTTCGTGGCAGGCGCAATACTTTAGAGGCGAAGGAAGTTTCGCAGAATTGCTTCGTTTTTGATGTTGTCAATTTCAAAAATTGAGGAAGTATCGCAGACTTGCTGCATTTTCAAGCTTACAGATAGACAGACAGACAGACAGACAGACAGGCAGGCAGGCAGGCAGGCAGGCAGGCAGGCAGGCAGAGGCAGGCAGGCAGACAGACAGACAGACAGGCAGACAGGCAGACAGGCAGACAGGCAGACAGGCAGACAAACAGACAAACAGACAAACAGATAGATAGATAGATAGATCGATAGATCGATAGATCGATAGATCGATCGATCGATCGATAGATAGATAGATAGACAGTTCCATCTACAACTACAACTGCCACTACACTACGCTACTGCTACAACTACAAATGCAAATATACTACGCTACATTACACTACACTACACTACGCTACGCTACACTAGACTACACTACACTACACCAATTACACTGCAGCACACTACAACTACACAGCTACAACCATATTACATTGCACAACACAAAACTACGCTGATTACATTGCATTACACTACAGCTACAGCTGCAGCTGCAATTACAACTACAACTACAACTACAACTTCCACTACATTACACTACACTACGCTGCGCTACACTACACTAATTACACTGCACTACGCTACAACTACAACTACTACACTACCTTACAGTAGACTGCACTACACTATACCACTTTACGCTACACAACACTACACGACATTACACCGCACTATACGACACTAATTACACCACAACACGACTACAACTGCAACTGCACTTGCAACTACACTAATTACACTACATTACAACTACAACTCCACTACGCTACACTACATTACAACTACAGCTACAAGTGCAACTACAACTACAACTGCGCTACGTCACACTACATCCAGCAGTTGTGGCCAGGTGACCACTGCAACCATTGCAACCATTCCAAAAAACACAACTCCAACCACCTGTCGGTCCATCAGTGGATTCGCTCTGCCATCCGTGATTCATAAAAACCAACCTCTTCTATAGGTTTCCTATTTTTGAAACTTCCGCCACCGCCTTGCGCGGCACTACTGGTATGATATGTTTAAATAGGAAACGCTGGGAGGCTTCACCATTAAGGTTTGAACCAACAGAAACTGAGGAATTAAAATTGTATCAAGTCAAATTGACGGACCAATTGGCTCCAATGTTGATGAAGATCAAGCAGCTGGCGGGTGAAATAGCACGCCGGCGTTGCCTCTTGGGCCTCGGCCGCCATGGGGAGGCAGAAAAATGCCTTTACTTACCTTCAAGCAGGTTCCAAACCGAAAGATTTGGAGACGGCTCGCACTGCGAATTTGAAGCTGAACGAACATGGGCAGAGTCTTATGTTTGCTGCGGCTGGCCGACCTCTCAACAAAGGTTCTGCTGTTTTTTTTTGCCAAATACTTCAGAAACATGGCCTGGCAGTGGATGCTTCGGACAACCACCACCAGACCGACTCTTTGCAGCTGCCCGTTGAAGCAATGAAAATTGCGCTGATTGGCTGATTGCACAGGGGTGCGCAGTGGACCACGCTGATTTCAGAGGAGAGACACCCCTTTGCATTGCCTTCCGAAACTCACAAATGGAAATGGTCATGAAATTTTTGAAACATGGAGTTTCTTTGGGTGTGAAAGACATGTATGGAGGTCGTCAGCCAACATTTTTTGCCGAGCCTATTTTCCGCAAAGCCTTTGCGGAGCGAACCCCGTGAGACCATGAGTTCGCCGAAGCGAAAACGGGGACAACCATCCTTGCGGTGCAGTCACAATGTGATGACTCAATGGGATCAAGATGAGGTCGTTCCAGACGAGACTATTCCAGAGAAAAAGGTGCACTTTTCCTCTGGAATGGTCTCGTCTGGAACGACCTCATCTGGATTTCTTTGGATCACACTGATAGCCTCCGAGGACACCTGCACCTTGCTATGGCACCTGATGAATGGGCAGACTTTTCTGGAATCCCTGTGCACGAGGCTGATGCTCACAAATCGATCTACAATCTACTGAAGAGGGGTTCAGACACGCAGTCGCTCATTTGCTGTGTGGAGAAGAGCACTGGATGCATTCGTGGCTACCTCAATCTAGGCTATTTCAATGATCAGATGTTGCACCTGAACCACCTAAATTAGGTGGTTGAGGTGTACGATCTGATCAAAAGTGCAACGTGAGTTGCAAAGGCACGTGCCTTTGCAACTCACGTTGCACTTTTGAATTGATGCTCGAAGGTGGGATGTGCCTTGCCAAGCGCCGTGGCTGGGCGTTCAATAAAATAGATCTTGAAAGTATCTCTGTGGAGTCACAAGGCCATCTTCTACAACGCAATGGGCTTCGTGCAGCAGGCCAGGCGCACGAAACGCCAGCGATCCGCGCTCGCCAATTGGATTACCATGTCAAAAGAGATTTGAATCAAATTTCTTTTGACATGTTAATCCAATTGCCTGATTTGATGAGATTTGTACAGCTTCCAGTCCTTCTGGAGTCATTCTACCGGCAGCACCATCGATTTATGTGAAAATGTACTTTAGTCAGTTTCAATGCGGAGATATGCGGAGTATTGCCACTCAGTTTCACTTGATTTGAAACGGCAATTCGGCAGAAAATATATGAATGCATATTCAATGCAGAGTCGGAATGCCACCAAAGAATAATTACACATAACCCATAGGATCCATGGTGCTGCTATATATGGTAACATTTACCATCAATATATCCCCAATGTTAGCATATACACCATACATGGATCCTATGGGTAATGATGATTCAGCAATGGATTTAGTGTATCTTATTTTCAAAGAAACTCATGTGGACCCGAAAAGGACAAGCTGCCCAGATCATGACAGGTGCACCAGAGCCTCCTCCAACGCTCAGGGCCCAACTTTGCAACTGATTCCTTCGCTGAAGACAACGTTTCAATGACAAAGACAGCTATGAACTTGTTTGAGGCCTTGCTTGAACATATCATTTTGGGATGGAACAATTATGCGTAACTGGTTGGACTTAGATACCAGTTGCAGTCACTTGCTAAAAAGATAGTCCGAGGCCAGTGGAGGAGGCAGAGCTGAGCCTTCAAGCCAAGCAGGAACGGCCTATTTTTCTTAAAAGCATTTGTTTGTTGATTTGTTGTTTTGTTTTGATTTGGAGTTGGAGCTGTCTTTAACAGGACCAAGATTAATCCAAAGGAGAAAGGGCGGAGACACCGAGCGCATGCCGTAGACAATCAACATTTGCAGTCACCTGCAGTTGCGCCCTGTATACAGTAGCATGTGTTTGAAGGTGGTCAGATCTTGAAATGTGAAATCAGAAGCAACAGAAAACATCAAACATTTTGTTTGTACTTGCGTTGGCTTGATGCAGATGATGATCTTAGAGAGAGAGAGAGAGATAGAGAAAGGGAGAGAGAAGAAACACTGCATAGTATGTATTTATCATAAAGGCTATCAGTTTTTTGTGCACTTCATTGTCACACTCAGTGGCATTTACATGTGCAGCAGGCTATGGCAGCTGCTGCAGTGGGGAGCATAGCCCACCAGAAGTAGTTGAATCAAATGAGGTTTCATTCTTAATACATAGAATTGAAGTTGGCAGAGTGGTGTTTAGTTTCATCAGCACAAAGCTCATCAGCAGATCATCATTTGCTGAGTTTGCAATGCATGGAATGTGGCAAGGCCACCAACCTCCGGGCGAGAAAGCAGACCGCTGAGCCCCAGGGAGTCCAGCCGACATTGCCGCCGAGCCAGGTCAATGAGCTGATGATTGATGTGGAAAGCCACGAGACCACAGTTTGACTGGATCAAAGTCAATTCATGATGATTCCAAGTCTCAGTTCAGACACTGCAAACCAATCTATGTCGTATCAAAGCCATTGTGAGTGAGTAAAGTATCCGGATTATTTGGTTCGACTCTGTTCTGCTTGTACAATTTATCTTTTCTTTGTTGTACGTTCTGTATATATATATATTATTTATGGAATATTTATGGAATATTTATGGACTCGTCAAGGAATCAAATCTAATCTGATTCTCAGATCGCGCCCAATCCTTTGGCCGCGGTGCTGCAGAACATACAAGTTCCACAGGCCTGCGGACGACCTGCTTCTTGAGAGATGTTCGTATGAACCTACAAAGGAACACACATACTTTTGCTTCACATTGCTGCACATACCAGATACATCCAGATACTGTGGCATACCACATCTTTCAGGCAATGGTTGCACATCCCATGGTGCTGCCGGCCCGCAACTCAGCGCTTCAGGCAATTGTTTAGTTTAATTGGAGTCTTTACAAGGTCAACTGCATAGAAGCATGGTGGTTTGATGCGCTGGTGCTACATGGTCTTGGGCTCGAATTCAACCTTTGCAGTGTGCGGCCAATATTTGATCTTTTGCGGCCTTGAACAAGCCAAACCATGGAATACGGCAGTGCCCGAAATGTCTTGATCAGTGGCAAAGAAGTGGATATTCAAAACTTGAAAGAAATCCGTGATCTTCCGGAGAAGCAAAAGAAAGGAAGAGAGAAGGAGATCAGGAGCGGAGCTGAATTCTTGCAGACCGCACCCAGATTTCCTTCCCGGCGGGGATGCAAAGATCTTCCCTGGGCAATCCTCTTCATGTTGACAGTTGCGGCACTGGTTGCCTTCGTGATCTACTCCGTGGTTGGCATCAACACAGAACTCAATGAGGATGAAGATTTCAAGCACTGGAAGACCCATGATGGTAAAGTTCCACCAGATATTTGGAGCGATGCCATTACCATCAACTTGGCATGTGTGGCTGGAAGTGTGGCTGGTTTGATCATGGCCTTCTTTTGGATCATGGCTGCGAAGGCCTGTCCCAGCCCCGTGGTCTACATCTCCCTCTATGCCATTCCTGTCCTCAGCATCCTGGGTGGCGTTGCCCTGGTGTGTTCGGGCCAAACTGGAATGATGATAGCTGGAGCCATCCTCATCTTGGCTGGGATGTGTCAATTGGGTTGTGTGATGTGCTGCTGGGCTCAATACATTCCCTTCACCATTGAAGTTGTTGGGATGGTGGCAAATGTCTCCAATGAGAATCCCTGCATGGTGGCTGTATCTGCCCTGGGAGGCTTCTTCAGTGCAGCTTGGGTGATCTTGCTTACGGTTGGCTTTGCTGCGTTCACCATCAAGCACAAGGAGGATACACCGGACAAGAACAAAGGTGTGATGAGTCCGTTGGAGTTCTGCTTCCTTCTGGTGTTGTACTGGGGAAGTGGCGTAATTCACAATGTGTGTCACATGGCATATGCGGGGGTTTTCAGCCGATGGTATTTCTCCGCAGATGGGCCACTGCTGTTCCCCAGTTTGCAAGTGGCTTTGACCACTTCCTTTGGTAGCATTTGCTTTGGGACCTTTGTTGTGGCTGCAATTAATGCAGTGCAGATGCTCGTGCGAAGTGTTCGGATTGCAGCACAAGAGGACGGAAATGTTGTTGGTTGTGTTGTGGCTCTGATTCTGGAGTGCATCATTGATGCAATTGGCGACATGCTCGAGTACTTCAATGCATGGGTCTACGTCCAGTGTGCAATTCGGGGTGGTAGCTTTTGTGAATCGGCCCGTGCCACTTGTGCTATGATTTCATGTCATCTTGGATTTGCTGAGTAGATGATTTTTGTTATTTTCCCAATTGTCAAAATCCACAGAAGATCACAGAAGTGTGTTTTCTTTCAAACATGTTCAAACATGTTCAAACAGACTTTTCAAACATACAAAACAAACACATATTTTCATATATTTTCTGACTTCTGAAACAATCACCATTTAATAGCTCCATCCTGGTCCAGGTAATGGGCTGAAGGCTATCATTGGTGATCTTTTGATCGACAGTGTGGTGACGCTAGGAACCCTGCTGAGCGGCTTGGTTGGCCTTGGCGTCGGTGCTGCCGTTGCTTGGGGCACCAAGGCTGAGTTCCAGCATGCCGCCTTGTCTCGGGAGGTGGGCAGCGGCTGGAGACCGCAAGAACCATGGAATGATTGGAATGTCATTCTTAAAACAAGGTAAAACCATGTGAAACCAGTGGTAAAACCATGTAAAATTGATAAAACCATCCCAAACTATTGGGTTCCCTATTCAAAATATTGCAAAGATTACAACTTGGCGAATTTTGGGGGTCCCCGTTCAAAGTTCGAACCCCCCCCCCCCAGGTCCCCCCCCCAGGTGGTGATTCTCATTGGAGTCATCAGTGGTCTCCTCGGCGGTTTGTTGGCGGGTGGAGGAGTCATGACGATCTTCAGCAGTGGAACCAAGGCCATTTTGATGTGCTGGGCAGAGGAACCAAATCGCCTGCATGAAGAACATGAATTTGAGGATTTGCACACAGAGTCTTGGATTTGCCGAGACCATATGTACATGAGTCGAGTTTTTCTCCCGTTGATTTCCCATTGACTAATCCACCAATTTCAGGGGAATCTACTGGGAATGTTGTGCGATGTCCGTGTTTTGTGGCCCCCTTACACAAATGGGTATGGATCAATACCTATAGATACCATTTTTAGTGGGATGAACATCCATTTACCAGCTATTTTGATGTTCACCAGGGGTACAAGGTTTTGACACACTGCCAAATCATCACAAATCCAAGGAGTTCAATGCCAAGATCCAGGATTACAATTATAGTTGAGGACTACTGATACTTTACACCAGATTGCTTGGACCCTCAAACTGTCGGTCCGCAAGACTTCCATTGATTGCTATGAGCTTCGTGAATCAAAGAGACGTCCGCGGTGCAGATGCTTCATAGATTGAGGGAATGCGATTCATGATGATTCATGGACCTTTTGCGATCCTTGTGAATCTTTTATATATAATCTTTTTCACTACGCTGATCTACGCTGCATGACTGAAGCTTCCAATGCTGTCGTTGATGATGAAAGACAAGAAGTTGTTTTGACCCAAGTGCCAGCGCAGCCAAGGGACAACAAGCTATACCCAGCTTCCCTGCTTGAAACTTAAGTGACCAGACGTGCCTTGAGTTGACAGCATCTCACAATATCTCATACTTTTGAGGTTGGGGCTTTGATGATCAATCAGGTCTTGCAGGTTCAGGATCTTCTCAGGATCTTCTCAGGATTTTGCAGATGATAGGACGACCGCAGTCTGCCATACTACAGTTCTGCTTATGAGTTGTTCGCAGGTTCTTCACATACCATTTCGCAAAGAGATGCTTAAAGAGTCGGAAATGGTCCTGTGAATTTCCGACTGACCGAGGTGCGGGAGGTGAGAGACGTGCGAATGACCAGGAGGCAGAGAATAACTTAAGTGTTTTTTTTTCATTGAGGGGTTATTAGTGAATAAAATCATATTTGAATGATGATAAACGATGTATCTGTTGAACCCATTGTGGTAAGTTTTTCAATACATTTGTGAAGTTCCCGCAGACATTTACTTCTGCCCAAAAAGCGAGGCCGGATGCGTTCAAGGCAGAGGCACTCGTTGCCAATGAACTGCATGGCAGAGTGACAAAGTGGCAGAGTGGCCACTTTGAAGTGTTTGTTTGTGAAAAAAACATATGTGTTACAACAATGTGCATGCAAGGGAGCTATGCGTTGAATGTTGAACAAAATTGAAACTGTTTGAATGAGTTGTCCATATTCGATTGATAACAGACATTGTGTATGTTTATACAAATCATTCAAGATCAAAACCGAGAGTAGCCTTGGAAACATCTTCATCATTATTATTTTTCATCATTCTTCATCTATCCATTAAATCCATCACATAAATTCACAAATCAGTTCTGGATCCCACGAGTCTTTGAACCCAGCTCTATGTAGCGCGGTAGCTCAATGTTTGGAGGTCCCTCCTGAAACGAACCGTTGGGGACCTCAAAGGATTGGCCAAGGATAGTCACCTTTTATTTGTTTTATTCATGTAGGTACTGTAGGTATATGATTGGTATGCGGTATATGTAGGCTTTTCCATGTTTTTCCATTGTGTCCCGGTTCTCGCGATTGTTAAGTTGCTAAGTTGGGGTTGTCCAGACCGAGACGGTATATCAAAACCAAAGAAGTGTTTTGGGAGTGCTCCAAGAGTCGTAAAACACATATAAGTGTTTTGGCCCAAAATTAGGTGAACAAAAACACTTGTTGATGCTGCAGCCTCTGCAGTGGGTTTAAGATGGTTTAAGATATCCCTCAGCTGCATGTTTAGTTCAATGCTGGATACATGCCACTGAAGGCAGCTGACTTTACTGACCTCAATATGATTTGTAAATACATGTGAATACCATGTGGTATCAGGAAGTTCCACCGTACAATAACTAATTAGATATTTTTGGTTGGATATGAAAAGCTGAGATTGTCAGTATAAGTATAAGCATCTCAATGGGATTTGATATTGATATGATATGATATTTTGGAAGCACATCCAGGTCACATGTTATCATTTTTGACGCTCGCTTGGTCTTTTCGCTCCTTGCGCAAACCTGGTGACATTTCTAAATTCATATTTTAATGAACACCGGGCTGACTGTAAAATAACTGACGAACATGCGATGACCTTTGGAGATAGGTACTGCGTGAAAACCAGGTGAATTTTCAAAACTTGGTGAAAACCTGGTGAAATTTCCAGACCTGGTGAAAACCTGGTGAATGTTCAAAACTTGGTGAAAACCTGGTGAATTTTCAAAACTTGGTGAAAACCTGGTGAATTTTCAAAACTTGGTGAAAACCTGGTGAATTTTCAAAACTTGGTGAAAACCTGGTGATTTCTTTGTTGTGAGCACGAAGAAGTGTTTTACAGGTTCCAAATTCACCAAAAGAAGTGTTTTGAGCCTACTTTTTGGTGAAAATTATGTGTTTTCATGGTGAAAATGGATCGAAAATCTCATTGGACCAAAACCTGGTGAAAACCTGGTGAAAACTTGGTGAATTTTCAAAACCTGGTGAAAACCTGATGAATTTTCAAAACCAGCTGAAAACTTGGTGAAACTTGGGTGAAAACCTGGTGAAAACCCGGTGAAAACTTGGTGAAAACCCGGTGAAAACTTGGTGAAAAGTCGCTGAAAACTTGGTAAAAACCTGGTGAAAGCTTGGTGAAAACCTGGTGAAAACTCGGTGAAAACTTGGTGAAAACCTGGTGAAAACCTGGTGAAGACTTGGTGAAAACGTGATGAAAAAAAACTCGGTCAAAACTTGGTGAAAACTTGGTGAAAGCCTGGTGAATTTTCAAAACCTGGTGAAAACCTGGTGAAGACTTGGTGAAAACGTGATGAAAACTCGGTCAAAACTTGGTGAAAACCTGGTGAATTTTCAAAACCTGGTGAAAACTTGGTGAAAACTTGGTCAAAAAAGCGGTCGAAATCTGTTTGAAAACCTAGTGCAGCCTGGTGAAAACTTTTTGAAAAAGCCTCGTGAAAACTTGGTGAAAACTTGATGAAAACCTTGTGAATTTTCACAACCTGGTGACAACCTGATGAAATGTCACAACCTTGGTAAAAACTTGATGGATTTTTTTTAAAACTCAATGAAAAATTGCGGAGAAATTGTTGCTGACAAATCTCCAGGGTGGCACAAGTAGGAAAAAAGGGCACGTCTAGATTGACACCCGCTGGATTTACTGGATTTCCAAGGATTTCCCAAACATGTGTTTTAGTCCTAGTCGGCAAGTTTCAAAACACTTGTTGCATCCTAGACCCTCGGGCACTGAGTCAAAACACATGTTGGGCCCTGCAGCTAACGACTTAGCAACTTAACACTCGCGATGATTTGAGCTTTTGGATATTCACCAGATCAGCAGAACCTATTGGAACAAGCACAAATGAACCGAACTACATGTTTCGGGGCAAGTATGACAGCAATGAGTCCCTGACGAAGTTCTCTTGGAACGCGTCGCATCGCGTCGCCAGAGTTGAGGTGAAGAGCGGAAGGAGGAGAAGCTTCCGGAAGAGGAGCCAACGGATTTCACTGGCCGACCATTTGGATTGCCAGGCTCTGTGTTAAAGAAAAACATAGAAAAACTGCATGAGATCATAAGATGTTCCCCAGGACAGCGAACCAATTCGTTTGGAGCTTAGCCGCTTAGCCACCAGCTCTACTGAAAAATATTTGAAACATATGTTATACAACGAAATTCTGTGAACCAGATTCATGTAATATCATGTAATGTCATTTCACATTACTTTCAGTTCGAATCAAATTACATTTTTCCCCAACATCTATAAACCATCATCATTGTTTGACAATAATGATATATATATATAATGGATATAGTTTTACCATTTTCTGTCATTGCCATCACACCTTTGTCGGTATTCAGGCTGCCATTTCCACCGGAAGCCGCAGCTGAACTGCAAGATCTGTCGACGAGTCCGGCACCTGCAATCCACGGATGCCTCTCTTTTTTTGGCCATCAGCACCTAGTGAGGAGGGCTACCAGAATTGTGAAATGTTGTAAATGTATGTACTGTAAATGTACGGTAACGACATTTAAATATGTGGAGTGCGGGCCAGACCGCAAGGCCCAGGAGGTAGTATAGAATACATTAAAATACCAGTTCGTATATTTAAATGTAGTTACCGTATGTTTAAACAAATTGGATTCCGTATGTTTAAATGGCCGGGCGGGCCAAGGAAAACCTTCCCGGAGGTAGTCTAAAATACCTGTTCGTATATTTCAAAATCCGTATACATTTATATAAATGTAGTTACCGTATGTGTTGTTATTTGTTTAAAAGTATCTCACGACATTACTCAAGTTACTAAAGCCTAGCTCCCTGCTTTCTGACTCTGAGGTCTACTATTCTGCAGTAGACCCAAACTTTCAGAAGAAGGACCACACGGGTGAAGACTATCGAACCGTTGCGATCAACTTCGAGCAGTTGAAAATCCAAATATCCAATAATGTCATTTGCCCAGCAGAGGCTGCTCAACAGCTGTGGGTGACCAATACATGTGGCATCATGTGGTATCATTTCGTCATATTTGGTCTGGAGCAGATCAAAGACAGCTTGAGCCGCTTCTGCGACAGGATGATAAGAATAAGATGCTGGACAAAAAGGCAGAGGAAGAAACACCAGGGGCTCGGCACTTGACTTTACTTGCCTTCCACAAGCTGACATTTATGCAGCATTTGATGGCAACACACTGTATACACTCTTGTGATCACTGTTGGGTATTGTTCTATGTTTTGGGTTGGCTTGGGCTTGGCATTTTATAGAACAGATGGATCCCAGACCAAAGATCAAGCTGTGCAATGTCTTAATTGTTTCAGCAGTAGCATTTTCCTAGCCGTTCGTGCTTTGGTGGAATTCAGGTAAGAATGCGGGGTGCTGAAGCGTTTGAGATAACGAACAAGCAAACCTACAACTTCAACTCCATGTGCGAAGCCTCAGTGGTGCCTCATTAGGAGCTGTAAGTCACGGCATTTATATAATTACATCAATTATATCCAAACTTAAGTATACTTGGGTACTGTACTTACTGTACTATCGACTGATGGCCACTGCAGGTTGAGAGATCAGATCTTGAAGAACACCTACTTCAAGACGTCCCTGGCTCAGAACTGTTCGATTTTCCGCCAGGACATTCTAGTATCTTCTGGCGCTCCATCAGCGCTGGCACCAAGGTTAGTGAAGATTGATACCTTCGAAGGCATCATGGATGACACTTGGCCACTTCCAGTTTCTCCTCGATTGCAAACATGGACAAAGACCTTGAAAAACATAAAAAAAAATCTGCTAATTCGCTGAAACCATTCATTCAAGTAGGATTGTATTATTGTTGAATCAGTACACAGCCCGTTCCAGTTAATTTGTCCGGAACTCCTAGTTGCATGTGAATATCAAGTTCGCTCTTAGTGATATTGATGTGCTTTCAGCCTTTCTTAATGGCAGCTCAAGAGAACGCGCATTGTAGTCTTGCCCACTAATAAACAGCACGTGCAGATCCAGGAAATGTACCAGTATGTGGAGACTGCGGAGACCTACGGTGGTGGATCGACGCACGGAGTCCTCAGAGATGCGCCGATGCGACCACATTGACCACATTCATGAGGGCGTTTTGGCATTCCGGGATTCCCATGGATTCCCTATTATTACTAATATTTTGTATACTAATATAATCTAATATATATATAATATAATATAATATATATAATATAATATATATATATATAATATATATATAATATAATATATATAATATATATACTATTTTGTTTTGCAGATGTAGCAGAGTTTGGAATCATGGCGTGATCGAAGAGAGTTGGACTTGACTTATCTTGACTTAAGGACCGTGCCATCCAGCCTGTTCTGCTGCCTTTATCGTTTATTCACCATCGGTTGAGCTGGCACGCTTGGAGCAAGCCAGCATCATCAGGAATCGAAGTAGATTTGATGATGGTGAACTATGGTGAAATGGCAGGAAATGTCCGTTGTTTCTTGCCCTGACTTGCATAGCAACTCAGAATTTTTGTCAGCCTATAGCTGTTTTAGGGGATAAGCCGTCTACCTGTCTGAAGTGGGTGTTCCCTGTGTGGGGAAGCCAGGTCTCTCGTATGATGAACTTAGTTTGCTCTGCGAGTCCAAGGTGAGTCTAAAAGCATGCTGATTTGAAAATAGATCAGCAGGGTTTTGTGGCCCTAGCCAGCAGCAAGAGACTTTGTCATCTTTCATCACTGCCGTTGTTCATGTCGCTAGGCAGGTTGCCTGTTTGTAGATTCTGGGATTCTTCCATTTTCTTCGGCTGAGGTCAACAAGTGTACGTAGCTAAACAGCACTGCATTTACGCGATTTTACAAATTGAATAACTCGTGAAGAGCAGTGTGTCCCTCTATGTCCCTCTGCATCTGAAAAACCCTGCGTAATTCAAATTTCTGAGGAGTTCGAATTTAAGATGTACAATTCATTAACATTCATTAACAAATTCCCTATGATTTGCAGGATTGGCCCTACATTCGTTGTTGTGGATTCTTGTACATCCGCTTCGGCGTGGGAACACAGATTTCCATTAGATTTCCCGGATTGCCCAGAGTGAGCAGGAATTTGCTGCTGCTGCCGCTTCGTTCGATGTGGCTGGTTGATGTTAGTTGAGGATGTGCTCCAGAGAAGCTCTGGGACTTTCTTGGTGAGTACTGCGTGGATGATGAGGAGTTTGGGTCACCCAAGATGCTTCCCAGCCCACAGGAGCTACGAAAAAAAAACATCTTCAAACAGGGGAACTGATCATGTTCTTCATTCCTGATTCAAAAGTCCTCTAGGAATCCTACTGGAAAATTAGGGCCCGATTTACACGACATGCAAGAAATTAGCACACAGTGCGGTACTACCTTAATTATCCTTAGTTCTCATTGATATAATTATCCTTAATTTGGATACTTGTACAATCTTGTACATATTCATAGGATACATTAGGATGATATGCAATCTCACAAGATCGGAAGGTGTTTTTAAGACTCAGAGTTCTTTGCTCGGGTTCCGGCTTCGCCGTTGTCGCTGGACTGAGGTTTGAACCCTCCAAGTCAACGCCGGGCTTTATCGTCACCATTGGCGAGTACGTGGAGGATGGCAATCGGCAGCATATGAACTGAGAGATGCTGCCACTTTGAGATAGAGATGATAGAGATGTGCTTTTGTACTCCTTTGTGCATTGGCAGGAATTGGTTCTATATGCTTGATTCTGGTTGCATATTGTAGTTGCAACAATTTATCACATTGCAAAAGGATTGGACAATTTGTCCTGAAAGTCTTGCTGTCTCGGTGCACGGCAGTCCCTACTGATGGACGAGCGCTACTACTTCTCGGACACAGTCTCAGAAACCGGAAAGTCTGGTCCCTCTGACATTCTCGAGATTGAAAGATTGTGAATCTTGAAAGTGTGTTGGCAACCACATGAAAGCTCTGGAGATTGGAGTTCAAGTTTGACCAGGCCTGTGTAGATTTTCTTTTGCGGCTGAAAACAATTCCTTGCGCCGCAAAGCCAGAGTCACCTCAGATTGATGTAGTGCTGTGGCCATGTGAGTATCTCTTTTTTTTCCATCTTCGAACCGGCTGGTTATGCTGGTTTTGTGCCTCTGTGAACAACTTGATGAAGCCCATGATGAAGCACCCATTGACTTTTCACCCTCGGGCAACGAATGCCCTTTGCGTCTAAGACACTTCCACGGATTCCCATGGGAGTCAAGAAGAAGATCGAAGAGAAGGCCGTGGTGCCAAGATTTGCTGAGATGCAGCTGTAAGATGGGAGATTCATGCCGCTTTTCCCCCGCTTTTCAGCTTTGAAAATAGATGTAAGATGGCAGATTCGTTCCATTGACATGGAGCGTCATGAGTCATGATGAGTCATCATGAGTCATGATGAGTCATCATGAGTCATGATGAGTCATCATGAGTCATCATGAGTCATCATGAACCTATGATATATATATATATATATGTTATTTTGTATGTATAATTTATAATTGTATTTCATGGTATTGCACCTCAAGATTTTCGAAAGCTCTCCAGGTCGCACCATTGGGGCAGCCTTGAGCTCGGTGTGCACGGGTTTTGGGTCTTGGAACACAGGCACAACAGGTGCAACGGCCAGTCAATCTTGTGAGCAAACTCCGAAACAAACTGGAGGAAACTGCTTCTATTCTGGAAAAGTGGCAAGTGAATGATGACGATGATGATGATGATGATGATGATGATCTTGTGGAGAAATCATGACAAACCAATCGACTATGGCTATGGTGAGGGGAGCAACTGCTGGCTGTTCTGTTTAACTTCCCCCCTTGATGGTGTCAACCCAAACCTAGCAGCCTCACTGCAGGTACAGAAGGCGAGCTGTTCAAAACAAGGCTGTCTTGCAATTGTTCAAGGAACCAGGAACACTTGTCGAGGCAGGAAACAGTTTTGCTACGTTTTGGTATATTTTGGTGTGTTTGGTCCATCCCAGACATTCTCAGTGACACCGTGCTCTTGTCTTGCAGGCCTTTAATATCCTTTAATCGGAAGAAGTATATAAACTTACACTAAACATCACCAAACTATTTTTTTCACAACATCAACTTACACTAATCACTAAACATCAACAAACTATGGTTGTAGAAATGTTCCAGGGATTTTGCCAGGCATGTCACGACAATGGCACTTGGCTCGAAGGCACTGTGGTGCAAGTCATTGAGCACCTCGACATGTGTCGGGAGACGGGCTGTTTACTGAGGAACCATGGGGGAACAACATGTTGGTCCTTTTTTTCTAAGCATTATTGTATATTAATATTACTATATATTATTAATAACATGTTATAACAATATAACAACTCTTTGTTGTGTTTTTCTATGGATTTGCTGAATTTAAAAGATCTCAAAGGGTAGTAGTTTGTTGAACGGCTTTTTCTGATGCAGATTGCCATGATTCTCTGGAAACAGCTTGGGATTCATTCATTGAAGCAAAGTGATTTGACATGCTTTAATAGGAAACACAGGGAGGCTTCACCATTAAGGTTAGTTTGAACCAACAGAAACTGAGGAGCCAAGATGAACCAAGATTGTATCAAGTCAAATTGACGGACCAATTGGCTCCAACGTTGATGAAGATCAAGCAGCTGGCGGGTGAAATAGCACGCCGGTGTTGCCTCTTGGGCCACGGCCGCCATGGGGAGGCAGAAAGATGCCTTTACTTACCTTCAAGCAGGTTCCAAACCGAAAGCTTTGGAGATTGCTCAATCTGCTGATTTGAGGCAGATGAACGAGCGCGGGCAAAGTCTGATGTTTGCTGCGGCTGGCCGACCTCTCAACAAAGGTTCCGCTGAACTTCTTTGCCAAATACTTCAGAAACGTGGCCTGGCAGTTGATGCTTTGGACGGCCACCACCAGACCGCACTCTTTGCAGCTGCGCGTGAAGGCAATGAAATTTGCGCCGATTGGCTGATTGCACAGGGGTGCGCAGTAGACCACGCTGATTTCAGAGGAGAGACACCCCTTTGCATTGCCTTCCGAAACTCACAGATGGGAATGGTCATGAGGCTCTTGAAGCATGGAGCTTCTTTGGGTGTGAAAGACATGTATGGAGGTCGTCAGCCAACATTTTTTGCCGACCCTATTTTTAGAAAAGCATTTGCGGAGAAGCGCGAAGAACTGCCTGAGACCACGAGTTCACCAAAGAAGCGAAAACGTGGGCAAGCAGAAGAGGAGCCGGGGGAGGGGTTTAAAAAAAAATCCGGATCAAGAAAAAAAAATCCGGATCAAAAAAAAAAATCCGGATCAAAAAAAAAAGGTATAAAAACAATACTGTAGCAACTAGTAGGAGGGAAGGAAAGGAAAAGGAAAGACAAGGAAAGGAAAGGAAGGGACGGGAAGGAAGGAAGGAAGGAAGGTAGGAAGGAAGGAAGGAAGGAAGAAAAGAAGGAAGGAAGGAACAAAGGAAAGAAGGAAGGAAGGAAGGAGGGAGGAACGGAGGAACGGAGGAAGTTCTGAAAACCGTATTCTAGAACACTTGTTGAAATTTATTCTCCAACTATATCTACTTGACTGATTTGTTCTGCCTCAACCTACGTTCTATATGCTCACAAGATGTATGCTGTGCAGCGTGGACACCCCTGAGTACCATATGCAACGGACAGAATTTGCACGAGAGAATAGGTATAGTTATTCTGCTTTGAGGGGAGGCGCTGCGCCCTTGTTTTTGTTTCGACCTAATACCTACCAGGTACTATGCATGAGTATTGAGCACATTTGTATGCGCCCTTCAAGGCTCAAGAGGTATATAGAGTAACCCTGTAGACATAGCACTGACCGGCAACAGGCTGAGTAAAAGAGTGCTGTCATTGGGGAAGACGCCTTAGCTGATCTTGAAGTAGACGCTAGGGCCCCTCTTCAAGTGGTAGCGGAGCTGTGATCCCTCATTGAGGGTGAGCTCCAGGTAGAGCCCAAGCAATGGCAAGCCATGGCTATGATGATGATGACTTCGACATTGTCGATGCAAATGAATGGAACCAATATGACTCTTATGCAATGAGAAGAGCACCCCAGCAGACACAGATTCACATGACGCAACAAATGACCACAAAGGTAGCTCCAGCATATGATGGGAGAACTAGCTTCTTTGCTTTTGAAGATGCAATTGATGACTGGTGTGACATCACGGAGTTAGAACCAGAGAAACGTGGTCCAGCCTTGCGCAATCGACTGGAAGGAGATGCTCAACAATACAAGAGGCTATTGGATAGAGAGATGCTCAGGGATCCCCAGGAAGGAGTGAACTATTTCAAAAGATTTCTACGACCTCATTTCATCAAAGGTGCCCAGAACGTGTTCTTATACCGTTTCATGCAGTTCATGAAGTTCAACAGAGGAACCATGGATCTTCAGAAGTGGATGACTAGATTTCAACTCACTGGCAATAGACTTATTGAGTCTTGGATGGATTTACTTCCAGAAGCTACAGTGACTAGTCCTGAAGCAATCCTGTTTGTTACACAAAAACGTCAAGAACATGATCGAGATCAACAAGAAAGAGCTGATGTAGCAGCAGCCTCAGGAGCAGCCCCTCATGTACCTGTTCCTTGGTCAGATGAACTGGCATTAGTGGCATTCAGACAGTACAATGAGCAGCGTAGACAAGTACAAAGACAAGCATTCCCACTGGGTGAAAATTTGCTAGCATTGATTTTTGTAAGTCTAGCTGACCTGAGTCAAGATCAGAGAAATACACTCACAAGTATCATGACACATCGTGGACGAACCCTCGATCAATACAACATTCAAGAACTACGTGACCTGTTTTTGGAAATGTTTTGCACTACCAAAACAGCAGTTGACAATCCATTGATGCAACCCTCTGGCATGGCACAGAGAAGATCTTTCCTCGTACTGGATGAAGGTGAATTAGAAGGAACCGACGGCTATTGGGCCGAAGATGAAGAAGACGGCGCAGAAGGATTCCTGGATGCTTTAGAAGATGTTTTCTGGGTTTATGATGACGCCAACTTCACATGGTATCAGAGAAGGTTCCAAGGCAAATACATCAGACGAGGCAAAGGTAAAGGAAAGAGAAAAGGAACAGGAAAAGGCAGAGGAGGACGAAGGTTCTTCAGATCAAGAAAAGGAAAAGGCCGAGGAAAAGGAAGAAGGAAAGGCCGCTCTCACATGGTGAGTGAAGAAGGTTATGAAGAATATTGGCAAGAAGAAGAATGGAATGAAAACTATGACGGCTATTGGGCCGATGATCAAAACTGGAATGAAGGCTATTGGGCCTATGATGATTCATACTACATGGATGAGTATGGATACTTCCAGAGGAAAGAAAAGGAAAAGGAAAAGGAAAGAAAGGCAAGAAAGGCAAGGATGATGATGGCAAAGGAGGAAAGCCAGGAGATGGAAAAGGCAAGTCGAACTATGTTCAACCTCAGACCACATCAGTTCCTGCCATACAGAATCAACAAACCCAACAAGCTCATTACTCTTCTGCTGCATCAAGTTCTGGTCATGGTTTCTTTGCATTTGGAAGAACTGACCCATTACGTGTTGATGTTGCAGAGACAGAGCCAGCACGTGTTGATGTTTTGACATCCACGTATGAACAACAAGAAGTACAACGACGCACTCGTCGTGGAGGACAGAACCAACGTGATGCAACAGCACATCAAAACAGAAGGGAAATGAAAAGATTCCCTGTTCTGGTTGGAGAAGTTGATGCACTTCGACAAGGTGTACAACGACGTCCAGCTCGTGTGCCCAGGCAAGTTGGTCTTCAAGAAGGTGAGGCTTCATGGAAGCCATTGGCAAAAGGCACATCATTGTTTTCATATGGATGCTCTACAGAGATAGAGGAACCATCACAGCAGAGTGCTTTTTCATTTCATACTGTACAGACTGATCTGGCATGTGAGAATGGACTAGCTTTTCACACAGAGAATTCTGCACCACCAACTGTGTGTATTCTGGATCTTGGATGCACAAGAGCTATGGGCTCTCGACGAGCAGTTGAAGCATTTTGCAGATATGTTGACTCACATCCCAACAGTGGACTCTGGTATGAAATTCAGCCAACAAGTTCAAGATTCTTCTTTGCAAATTCACAACAATCCAAATGTACTGAGAAGCTCGTGATATTCATGTATGATCATGGATGGAACACTCAGTTCACAGAATTCGACATTGTCGAAGAAGGTGATGTCCCATTGTTGATGTCACTTCCACAGATGAGAAACCTTGGATTTCAATTTGAACTTACTCCAGAGAAGGCTTATTTGTCCTGTGCACGCATTGGCATGAAAAAATGGTTTTGAGGACAGCCATCAGTACTCATCTCATTCTCGACCTACAAGATGTAGCATGGTACATGAGCCAAGTTCATTTCAAGACTCCTCAAGTCAAGCGTTTCTTCTCACAACACGATCACTTTGAGTACAGCCAGATTGCTGTCAAACAAGATGTTCATGAAGAAGAAGCTTTGGTGACTGGTGACTATTGGCAAGTTGATCCACTACGTCGTGAAATCATCAGGCACCACAAGGACAAGAGAATGAACTTACATGAGATGACTCGATCAGAGAAAACTCCAATTCCAAAAGAACAACTTCTAGATGAGAGAGAGACACACATGGAATTCCAGAAGAGCAAGAAGAAGGTTCTTCACAAGGACAACTGGCGCACAGAAAGGAAGAGGTTTTCTGAACAGAGTGAAGAGGTTTTCTGAACAGAGTGAAGAGTTCTGGAAGGGCAAGACCATCTACAAGATCAAGGAGGACTACGTGATCCCAGATGACATTGTCAGAAGTGACATTGATCGTGCAAAGCCCTTTCGTGGAAACATTGATGATCTTTTTCACCCTGAGTCAGCCTCTTCAGCGCCATCAGGTGTACAGAAGAAGAAGCCAAGCTCCTTAAAGAAGGAGGAAGGCAAACCGATTTCAATTGGACCAGGCTCGAAAAAGGTTGAGGTAGGTCCACCTGCAGCCAAGAGACACGTAGGTAAGCAGAAACCTCATGTTGTCGATGACTCTCAATCAGGTTCATCAAGAAAGAAGGTTGTTGTCTCTTATCCCAAGCTTGATGAGGAAGATGAACTTGACATAAGAGCTAGGGAGTTAGGTTTGGACAAGATTGATTCAGATGAACCTCAAGTCATTGAACCAAAACCTTCTGCACCTGCGCGCAACCGTGGTAAGCAAGATTCAGA